TTAGCTTGGTGTATACTGTTAATCCGAGGTTTGTCTAGGCACAAACACCCATAGAGATAGACACTAGCTGTTAGCTAAGTGTATACTGTTAATCCAAGGTTTGTCTGGGCACAAACATCCATAGAGATAGACACGCTATTAGCTTGGTGTATACTGTTAATCCGAGGTTTGTCTAGGCACAAACACCCATCGAGATAGACACTGTTAGCTTGGTGTATACTGTTAATCCGAGGTTTGTCTGGGCACTAACACCCATAGAGATAGACACTGTTAGCTTGGTGTATACTGTTAATCCGAGGTTTGTCTAGGCACAAACACCCATAGAGATAGACACTGTTTGCTGGGTGTATACTGTTAATCCAAGATTTGTCTAGGCACAAACACCCATAGAGATAGACACTGTTTGCTTGGTGTATACTGTTAATCCAAGGTTTGTCTGGACACAAACATCCATAGAGATAGACACGCTGTTAGCTTGGTGAATACTGTTAATCCAAGGTTTGTCTGGGCACAAACACCCATAGAGCTACCCACTGTTAGCTTGGTGTATACTGTTAATCCTAGGTTTGTCTGGGCACTAACACCCATAGAGATAGACACTGCTAGCTTGGTGTATACTGTTAATCCAAGGTTTGTCTGGACACAAACATCCATAGAGATAGACACGCTGTTAGCTTGGTGAATACTGTTAATCCAAGGTTTGTCTGGGCACAAACACCCATAGAGATACCCACTGTTAGCTTGGTGTATACTGTTAATCCAAGGTTTGTCTGGGCACAAACACCCATAGTGATAGACACTGTTAGTTTGGTGTGTTCCTTTAATCCTAGGTTTGTCTGGGCACAAACACCCATAGAGATAGACACTGTTAGCTTGGTGTATACTGTTAATCCAAGGTTTGTCTGGGCACCGATAGAGGGGGGAGGTACGGTGAGATACACAGACAAGCAGATAATACAAGGAGACATTAAAATTGCATGAAGAAATGGCTGCCCAGTTTGTAGTCTAGGTACACTGGAAGGATATGTTTTAATCCATTAATAAATACCTGGCATACATTTGATTAAGTGTATTGGTGAGTGTCAACTCAAATGAATTAGAGAGATTATTGAAAATGTAGGTTATCTTTATCTAGTATTCAAACTTGTTCATGTTCAGTGACAAAGGTCCAGCATTTCAATTATGACTTCTACTGTTTGTTAAAAGGTAGTTGCAGATGTTCTAATTAATGATAGTGTAAATACATTGTCAGCTTAACTCTGATAGCTGTAGTATTATAGTGTGTCTATAGAATCTTTGTGATGTACATATTACCGGGTATACTAATTCCCAGAGGGAGGCCATACATTCCCAGAAGGGATTGCCTGATGCTGCTGGCAAAGGAAACAGGCTATTACCTGTTGCATAATTTATCCTATGGTTGATGGAGTTACTAATCCTGTTGACAGATGCCTGTCTGAGCTTTTGGTTTATTGTCATACCACAGACCTTATTCCTATGTAGGGTATAGACTTTACTGGGTTGTAAATACCTCCATAGTTATGGTATTATACCTAAAAAAAAAACAGGGTGATATTTTGGTCCATTTCTATGTGTTATACATCTAAATGGAAACTGATACTAAGCACTGGGTATTATATCTCTAAAGAAAGAAAGTGAGACTTAGGGCTGTGTATTGTACACCTAAAATGAAAATGATACTTTGAGTTGTGTACATATATTACACCACTTAAGAGAAAGTGATTCTTACAGCTTTGTATTATATTGCTAAACAGAAAGTGGTACTTGAGGCTTTGTACATGTGCTATGTTTTATACATAGGTCAACTTATTTTATATGTAAAGAGAAAGTCAAACTTATATAATAAGGCTATGTGAGATATGTTTCTCAAAATTGAAAGTGATACTCCAGAGCTTTGTATTTATACAGAAAACTTTTCTGAGTGACCCTTTATATATAGTGACCACCTGTCTAAATGCTGCTTTGAATCCATTACAAAGATATGTAATATATAGCAATGTTTAGCAACCACTTGCTTAGTGCCGTAGATATCAACCACTTCTACTAAAATTTGAGAAAATTTAGGTCCCTCGAATGGTTATATTAACTGACCTTTCAGTCAAATAACAATGCAAAGAGAACGACAGTTTTGATTTCTGAGTGACTAAACTTTAATTACCTGTAGCCAGCCAGGCCCTTACTTCTAAACACAGGCTTGTCAGCTATAAGCCCAATGTGGGTTGTTTAAACATGTTCAGTCACATCAAGTATGATCTAAATCAACAAACCAATGAACATAGATGCCTCTTCCGAGTGATTTACAAGTAGTGAGTGCCATATCAAATGAAACAAATGTAAAATAACACCTTTCCTTCTGTACTTAATCTCCAAAAGAGAATGTGATGCTTAAAATCATCACAGAGCTTGAAGCATGTGTGTGAGTAAGTGTATAGGTTATTGGAATTTGTGTTTTTTTCCCCAGCAGAGCAGATATAGATTTAGAATTGATTGTCCCCTGTGTGGTTTTAGCCTTTGATACATCATGCCTGAGAATGATATTGATATCTAATGGTTGCTGTCATGTATTTACCATAGAGTAGGAAGATTAATGTGAAAAAGATGGAAATGCCCTGGGAGAAGAGGGGGAACAGCCATTTTTTCTATGTCCTTAAAGCTTGTGTCAGGAGAAACAGCCATGTCTTTGTAACAGGATGATTATTCTTCTGTCTTGTCCTGTTCAAATGGGAACAGTCGGATCTCCTAGGTCCTGGCCATGAGGGGAGGGGCACCTTATCTCTGTCTTCTAGGTCCTGACCAGTAGGGGAGGGGGCACCATATCTCTGTCTCCTAGGTCCTAACCAGGAGGGGAGGGGGCACCATATCTCTGTCTCCTAGGTCCTAACCAGGAGGGGAGGGGGCACCATATCTCGGTCTCCTAGGTCCTGACCAGGAGGGGAGGGGGCACCTTATCTCGGTCTCCTAGGTCCTGGCCAGGAGGGGAGGGGGCACCTTATCTCTGTCTCCTACGTCCTGACCAGGAAGGGAGGGGCACCATATCTCTGTCTCCATGGACCTGACCAGGAAGGGAGGGGCACCATATCTCTGTCTCAAAGGTCCTGACCAGGAGGGGAGGGGGCAACATATCTCTGTGTCCTAGGTCCTGACCCGGAGGGAAGGGGCACCATATCTCTGTCTCCTAGGTCCTAACCAGGAGGGGAGGGGGCACCATATCTCTGTCTCTAAAGTCTCAAGTCCTGGTCACAGGAGAAACAGTTCCTATCTTGTAAGTCCTGGTAAGAAGAGGGGGACAGCTTCTCTCTCATATGTGCAGGTCAAAGGGTGAACTGAGTCAGTCTTGTATGTCCTAGTCACATAGTGGAGGGAGTGGTTGGTGTCTCGTATGTACTGGTCACAGGGAGAAACAGCAATACATGTCTCTTTTTGTTCTGGACACAGGGGAAAAGTCTCTGTTCCTATGTCCTGGTCACAAGAAACAGTCCTGTTTCATTGGTATGGTTTTAATTAATCACACAGGGAACAGTCCTGTCTTGTCTTGTATGTCCTGATTACAGGGAAGAATGGCAATATCATTATATATTTGCCTCATTTGCCCTGGACAAAGTAGAGAAAATGTCTTTCAAAAGTTTCATATGGCATGGTTACAGGAGGAAACAGTCTGCCCTGGTCACCTTGATAACAGTCATATCTCATAAACCTTGGTCCATTGGGGAATAGCCATGTCTTCGTCTCCTGTGTTACTGATAAACTGTTCAGTTGTACATTTACTAACACCTAGTGTTTTGGGCTCTGCAAGGTTGTCTCCCATGTTTTGTATGGAATTGTCTCCCTTTCCTTGTTTTACAATGTACGTGTACCCAAATGTTTCCCGAGCCTATTGCTGTAGCTTTGGTCAGGTTTATTAATACAAGCTGCTACAAATATAACTTTGACTGATTTAGTTGGTTTACTGGACAGAGGTGGAAGATATGAACAATGTCATCTGAATACATATTAGGATTTAATAAAAACATTTAACAATTTGCATTGTAACTTGAAAAAATGTTAAAAGTTATTTGTGTTTGAGATGAGATTATGTCCGGACGTGTAACATTTTAGTTAAATGGAATATAGATTCCTGAGTTTAAGTGAATTTGGGGTTTTACTTAAACAATAACATACCTAAAGTCAAAAGGCTACTCATCATGTTAACAGGTTGTTATTGTAAAATATCGGTAATTGATGTTAATTTACCAGTAATATGTTGTTCAACATCTTTGACTGTATGCTTTCTCCCTTTCAGACACAAGTGCCAGTGATGAAGAGGACGATGACGGACAGATAAGTGAAGCAGAAGGTAAGTGATATTAATGGAGTGTTGTTCCATACTTTATATAGAGAATATTATACATGCCTTTTTCCATATCACACCCGAGACTGCAATATCAGCCCGAGGGCTGACATTGGTCGAGGGTTGATACTGGGGGTGATATGGAAAAAGGCATGTTTTATTCTGTTTATTACATACTTACTAACAAAAGCTACTATCTTATGATTTATTTTTCTTTTGAAATATTGAAAAATGAAAAATTTCCAAAAGGTGTGTGATACGGGTTTGGGGGCTGATACAGGTTTTGGGTGTGATACGGCGGGGGCTGATACGGTTTTTGGGGTGTGATACAGCGAGGGCTGATATGGGTAAGAGCAATTGTGTTGTATCGCATATACAAAAAAAATGGTTTTATTAGTAAGTATGTAATAAATAGTCTATATAAACACAACCAGAAGAAATTTTGTTTGTATGGCTAGGAATGAAGTTGGATCAGTGTCATTTTGATGCTTGTCCTCTCACCTCGAATAACATGAGACCTTCATAAGTAGCAAACATTTAGGTGACATAGATATATAGGCTGTCCTTGAATGTTGTTTGCACTGACAACACAAACACTGCAATACAGCAAAGTATTTTTAAATTCTGATATTTAGATCACTGACATGTATAAGTATATTTTAAAAATGTAAGTATATTTATTGAACAAAATTATTTTAGTATTCATACTGGTATAATCTCAAATAGGTTTCATCCATATTTAACATAACAAACCTAGCAGGCTTTATGCATCATGGATGTTACCGACATTCATACTGATGTGAGTGTTAAACAATATTCTGTTAAATCGCTATCTGCATGATTACGTGTATGATTTATATTGAATTAAGTTATTCATAAAATTTTCGTAAGGAAAATTTAGAACTGAAATTTCACTAAAAGCATTATGATAGTAAATAAAGAAAAAAAATCATTATGCATAATGATGCAAAACACATTATTACTTCAAAGATTCCATTATATCTACATGTTGGTATCCTGCAGTACATTTTGTTATTATCTGAGATGGAGCTATCTCTCTGGGTGGTCAGGTGGCACAGTGGATAGCAGAGCACACTTGCCTTTCCTAATACCAGATGTAAAAAAGGTATGGAATCACCTGCCCGACAACGAGCGTTTTCTTTGGGTACTCCAATTTCCTACCACATTCAGGCCTCTGCATGCTAACATCCAGGACAACGAGAGTGATAAAAATCAGTTGAATTAACTAATTTCATTAATGTTGTAAAATAAATGAAGTTTCTATATTATATTATCTCCCTTTGTTGACAGCCAACCTGGTGATGGCAGACAGCTATGTGATGCGTACTCAAGAGGAGCTGGATAACTGGCAGCAGGAAGTGCTGCGGAGGCTGGACCAGGAGCAGGACTTTATTTCACAGCTTCGCGCTCGCAGGGCCAAGAGTACTAGCAGCAGCCACAACCAAAGTGACACAGAAAACGACAAGTGAGTCCAAATTCTCAGCTACAAAACACATAGTGTAGGCTAAAAACAAAAATATGGTAAATTTGACTTTTGACATAGAACTTTTTAAATATGACAGATAATAGTAATTCAGATTTCGAAAGATAATGTCAAAAAAAAAATCAGAGTATCAGACTTTCATCACAACATTCTACAGAGAACATAAAGGACAAATTATGAATAAGTTCATATGAGTTGATGACTTGTAATACATGTTTTGTTTACTATTCATTGATTCAACAATTGATATATAATTCATTGGACTATACTTTTGTAGTTTCTGGTACAATTGAATTGTTCTTGTATATGTAATCAAAATAGCAGCACAAATATTTATTTTCAAAAGATCAAACATGTGTAAACACTGCTCAAGTCACTTTTAATGATGACTAAATTATTTCTGCTTGAATTACACTTAGAAATATGAGTGTGGATGGGTAACTACTGTTGTATATGAGGGTAGTTTACAGGTAGATGGAGGGGTTGTAGGTTTATAGGATGACTATACCCTGGGTTGAGTGTGGATAGGTAACTACTGTTGTATATGAGGGTAGTTTTACAGGTAGATAGAGGGATTGTAGGTTTACATGATGACTAATCGGCTGTTTGTGACAGTTACATTCCAGAGAACTCGTTCCTCAACAGGACAGATGATGGAAGTGCCTTAGGTACTGATGATGCAGAATCATATATCCGCACAGATGATGAGAGCTGCATCCGAACAGATGACGAGGATGCTGAGCTATATGACAATCATCCAAAGGTAGAACCAATGACAAAACCCAAGTGTAACAACATTCACCAAAGGGAAACATGAATTACGTTTCCCTTCCACAATGGCAAAAAAATAAATTGGATACCAATATTGAACAACGACAGTAAAGAGGATTAGGCCAAATAAAATTAATTACCTGGTTCTCAGGCCAATTTTTTCAAAATATATGCGACAGCGGTATTTTTTTCTCTCCATTTTACATGGCAAAAACGAGACGAGGGCGATTTTTTTTTTTATTGTGTAGTTTGTACAACGTTCATTGTGGACATTACCTTGTCTTTTTATAGTTGTGTAGAGACCTGTCATAGAGCAAGCCTCCGAAAATCCCCCCATGATATTCCAGACGAGAATCACGAACCCCCCATTCCTTATTTGTACTGAAATGAGCGCCTTTTGTACACAAGACTAATAAGTCATAATCATTTTAACGCTTGCCTGTATCTCAATCCTTACCTTTATTCAAACGTTTTCGGGACTTGGGTGACTAACGAGTAAAAACGACATGCGGACCAATTTTACAGATTTTTTTTAAAGATGGCGGCTGGCGCATTCACAATTTTTTTTTTATTACTTTCACGATAAAATCAGCAATGCGCACGGTGCAATGAAATGCGCGTGGGCCTGAGAACCAAGTAATCATTTTTTTTTGGCCTTAGACTTCCTTGTTATTGTTAGTATCTGCTTCAGTCACTTGGAACTCGGGTGTGGTGCCTCTTGCCTATTTTTCTAAAGGCTGAAAATAAGAGAAATATGACCAGGGTAACTGTAGCTATTAGGGGAACACAATGTTTTATTTTTTTCGTCATGTGATTAATACAATCTTATCAGACATGATGTTATTTAGAGGTATAGTAATACTGATCATGTATATGGAGACAAATAAAGAAATTTGGCTGTAAATCTTCGTGGCATTAATTATATGTACAACGCTAAAAACATGATAATTACTTGCTTTCAAATATTCAAATATTTTTTGGCAGGAGTTACCTGGTCGCATGACATCCAGTACATATACAACAGATGAAGAGAGTTACCTTCAGTCAGATGCAGACTCCTACATTCGCACTGATGACGAGGAGGGAGGCAACACTGACTGGGAAGAGTCCATGAAACGCTGGGTCAATCGCTGAAATCATCCGGGTCACCTGGCACAGGGAATGGAGCAATATAAACAGAAGGGCTTACTCTATATCATAGGGAGTGAAGCAACCAAACGGAACAGCTTGCTCTTTATCATAGGGAGTGAAGCAACCAAACATAACAGCTTACTCTTTATCATAGGGAGTGAAGCAACCAAAATGAACAGCTTCCTCTGTATCATAGGTAGTGAAGCGGCTAAACAGAACAGCTTACTTCTTGTGATGAGAAAATACAGGGCTGAAACTCTGATGCAAGATTTTTCATAAAAGGTGATGTAACAGTAGTAGAACAGCATATCCCGAACTGTGAACAGATGCATTGGAGAACTATACAGACATTGTTATGGCCTCATTGCAGGGAAAAAGCTACAAATAGAACTAATACTACAACTATCTGCTGGAGAAGTGTGACAGATCCTGGTCGTCTCCCTTGCTTTATGCTCAGTCAGGTTATGTGACCAAGGCTGATTACATGTACCTATATCTAGGTTAGTCCATGTAGATATATGGCCGGACAAGGTTATCTCCCTTTGTTAGTAGCGTTACTTAGGGAGAAATAGATGGTTCACTAATTAGCTCCCTAGAAGCTTTAAATCTTGTTACGTTTTAACAGTAGGCATACCAGGGAACCTATGAAAATTGTTGAGCTGACAGATTATTGAAAGAAAACATTATAGCTCTACTACACTACCGATGTGTGTAAGGGAGATAACTGTATGCAGGACATCAGAATTATCTCTATATGTCTCCTTTCATCAGGGTAGTTTGTTACAGAGTTACCTCCTCATTACTAGGGCTGGTTGTTACACAGTTACCTCCCCTGTCAATTATATGTAGTTTCATGTGTTTGTAGATCCTGTGAGAGAAATTGTGCCCGATACTGTCTAGTGACAAAACACCTATCCAGATCTCTCACCAATATTTTACTATGATCTTTACCATTGCTACATTGTTCATATAAAATCACATCACAACCAACTCTCAACAGAAATATTTTATAACAGTATATTTCGTTGGTTCAAGTGATATCAGCATCATCTCTATGTAACACCTGTTTTCAGTGGGTAGTTGTGTGAAATCCGTGGTCTCCACCTGTTTTTCCTGTGTGTTAATATTCGTCACCCAACAAGGAAACTAGCATTGTCAAATATATGAGGGAGCCTATCAATGTGACATATAATGTAGATTGTTATGTGATGTGATTACTGAAGCATTGCGTTATCTCATATAGCATGTTATCTGTTACAAATTCCATGATAACTTCTTATCTCATGCACGTATTGAGAAAACTTGTTATCACAAGGTTACTGTGATAACCTGTTATCTCATAGAGTAACGAGATAACATGTTATCTGTTACAAATATCATGATAACCTGTCATCTTATACAAGTACAATAAGATAACATATATATGTTATGTTATCTTGTTACAAGTATGTTAGTAACCTGTTATACAAGTAACGAGATACAACGAGATAACATGTTATCTGTTACAAGTACGTTAAGTAACCTGTTATACAAGTAACGAGATACAACGAGATAACATGTTATCTGTTACAAGTACGCTAGTTACCTGTTATACAAATAACAAGATACAACGAGATAACATGTTATCTGTTACAAGTACGTTAGTAACCTGTTATACAAGTAACGAGATACAACGAGATAACATGTTATCTGTTACAAGTACGTTAGTAACCTGTTATACAAGTAACGAGATACAACGTGATAACATGTTATCTGTTACAAGTACGTTAGTAACCTGTTATACAAGTAACGAGATATACCTGGGACAACCTGTTGACTGTTGCAAGTACAGTGATAACTGTTTTATCATCTATATACTACTTTATATCACCTACCGGTAGCATGATAAATTTGTTATCATTGGTTGTCAGTATGAGAATAAGTTGAGAACGACTTGAGAACAACTTAAGAAGAACTTGAGAATGAATTTTCCCATTCTCCAGCACTTGGGAATGTATTTTCTCAAAAAAGAGTGTCTGCTCGCGCCAGATGACACCCGAAACCGGAAATAGTGTCCACACAAAAGCGATATGGGTAAGAAAATATGCCGACTAAACATATCAATACAAAGTTATGGAAAAATATTGTGAGAACAACAACACCATTTCAGGAATAAATGTGCATATAATAAAGCCTATGATGATAGGATTGTTTTAAAAATATTTATTCTACATAGTTTTAAGATTCATTGTATTCCTCCGCGCTAAACTTCTATTTGTTTACGTTTGTCACAGGCGATCATTGACCATTGAGCTTAGAAGTCATTTGGAAAACATGGTGTTTAGTTGAGTTATTTAAATGGAGAAATATATAAGGTAGTAGTATATAGATGATAAATAGTTTATCTTACAGTATTTTCAGTGTTTGTCGCACGTAGATAAAATCTCCAGTCCACCTGTGGTGGCCTCTCGATTTTATCCAGGTGCTCGCAATGAGAAAATTGTTCTCACGATAAACCCTGAAAATACAGTGTGATAATCTATAAATTTCAAAAAGTAACGAGATAAACCTGTTATCTCAAAAAGTAAGAAGATAACATGTAATCTGATACAAATATTGTATTAACCTGTCATCTTATATGAGTAACGAGATAACCTATTGTCTGTTGCAAGTACAGTGGTAACTTGTTATTTCATACAAATATTGTGATAACCTGTGATCTCGTGTGATTATGGAGATACGTACCCTGTTATATAATGCGAGTGTTTAGACGACCATTCAGAACCTGGATGAGATGTACTTGTCTCTGATCCCCGCCATCAATTAATGAATCAGTATTAGATGCCCTTATCTCACCTTACTTGGGGACAAGTCGGATTATTACCGCTCAATGAAGAAATTTAAGTGATATTTTGTGTACATAATTTGCTATCTATGGGAAATCCAAACGAAACTCTATTTAGTTTACACTAGGATGTCTATTTTATTTTGAGATGATACTCCTTTGTGGTAGCCCTTCTTGCCAAGCATCTACTTGACTGGGATGTTTGTAAATGTTCGCTACGTTATTAAGTCATTTTCAAACAATAAACAATTATTTGTTACAGGCGTTCTGTGATAAGTGTTTCGTAAACAACACTTTTGAATATCTGTATCTCTAGACGGGCACAACCTTAGTTCATATTGACAGCAAGTATCATTATATTTTTTAATTAAGATATTTAAGCTGACATATGCCTAGCCACTTGTTATTACTGTTGGTTGTACAGAAACTCTGTAACATACTGTATGTGGAGCAGGCTCAGGTGTGTCAATTATCAATTAAGTGTAAATTATGTTATTACAAGTTTTTCTAGAGGATTAGCTTTTTGGGTTTTAAAACTAGCAGAAACAGGTAACAATTCAATAGCTTTTACATCTTTGTTTATATTTTTCTGTTAAAATGAATTATTTTACCTTTCAATAAAATATCTTTAAAAATATATGAAAAAAATATTAAAAACAATCTGTAACAACACAAAGTCGGGAAATTCCTAAAATTTACATTTTTGTCGAAGAAGACATTGATGGAACACCTATTTTACTCTTCATGCACAATTTCCAATTATTTGCCTCTTTGTTGATTTTTTTTTTTGCTATGGCTTATTGCTTTTAGTTGACAAGATAAGCTACATGTGTAAATCGGATAGGTCTGTAGTTGTCAGTCTGTAGCAATATTTTTTACATAGATTTTAAGATCATAGATAAACAGAATCAGCTATTGCCTATAGGGATTTTGCTTTGAACTCTGAACTCTTGTGTATATTCAATCACTATTAATTATTTTTTGATAATTTGACAATTAACAGGTTAAAACAAACAGTACTACAGCATCCAATACTACATCGTAGTGGTACTTCTGTATGGGGTGTTTGGTAGTGGTACTTCTGTATGGGGTGTTTGGTTGTGGTAATCTGTATTGGGTGTTTGGTAGTGGTACTTCTGTATGGAGTGTTTGGTAGTGGTACTTCTCCATCAAGTGTTTAGAGGGTACTTCTCTATGGAGTGTTTGGTAGTGGTACTTCTGTATGGGGTGTTTGGTTGTGGTAATCTGTATTGGGTGTTTGGTAGTGGTACTTCTCTATAGAGTGTTTGGTAGTGGTACTTCTCCATCGAGTGTTTAGAGGGTACTTCTCTATGGAGTGTTTGGTAGTGGTACTTCTCTATGAGTGTTTGGTAGTGGTACTTCTGTATGGAGTGTTTGATAGTGGTACTTCTCTATGGAGTGTTTGGTAGTGGTACTTCTGTATGGAGTGTTTGGTTGTTGTACTTCTGTATTGTGTGTTTGATAGTGGTACTTCTGTATGGAGTGTTTGGTTGTTGTACTTCTGTATGAAGTGTTTGGTTGTGGTACTTCTGTATAGAGTGTTTGATAGTGGTACTTCTGTATGGAGTGTTTGATAGTGGTACTTCTGTATGGAGTGTTTGATAGTGGTACTTCTGTATTGAGTGTTTGGTAGTGGTACTTCTGTATAGAGTGTTTGATAGTGGTACTTCTGTATAGAGTGTTTGGTAGTGGTACTTCTGTATGGAGTGTTTGATAGTGGTACTTCTGTATGGAGTGTTTGGTAGTGGTACTTCTGTATAGAGTGTTTGATAGTGGTACTTCTGTATGAAGTGTTTGATAGTGGTACTTCTGTATGAAGTGTTTGATAGTGGTACTTCTGTATGAAGTGTTTGGTAGTGGTACCTCTGTATTGTGTGTTTGATAGTGGTACTTCTGTATGGAGTGTTTGGTTGTTGTACTTCTCCATCTAGTGTTTAGGGGGTACTTCTTTATGGGGTGTTTGGTAGTGGTACTTCTCTATGAGTGTTTGGTAGTGGTACTTCTGTATGGAGTGTTTGGTTGTTGTACTTCTCCATCAAGTGTTTAGGGGGTACTTCTCTATGGGGTGTTTGGTAGTGGTACTTCTGTATAGAGTGTTTGGTAGTGGTACTTCTCTATGAGTGTTTGGTAGTGGTACTTCTGTATGGAGTGTTTGGTAGTGGTACTTCTGCATGGCAGGTAAAGTGAACTTTTTTTTTCTTTCCGTATAACAGAAGACAAAGTCTACAAAACAAACGTTGACTTTTCTTTTCAATCTATTATTTTCCGCTTTAGTTGGAACTACAACTCATTTGAGAATTCTACTTATTCAGTATGACGATTGTAAGGTAATTCTAGGACAAACAAAAAATTGATGTTTTAAGTTTTTTTTTAACATAATTAAAAGGGAAAACAGGGGTAACTTACTTCTACACATGCAACCTTAATCCTCTACTCTGAGGTCCTTTGAGTCGACCCTTAGGTTGATTATCTGCCCCTGTATTGTACTCTTGTGTTCTAGTCAGTGATAGAAATGGCAGCAGATAGTATTTTTTGTATGGTATGACAGAGGAAGTCCTGTGGCGATTGGTATACTATGGCATTGAAAATGTTATGACATCGAGACTGACAGAGGGAAAAAAATATATTTATTTTATAACAAATCCTAAACTCTTGTTGACCTGGATGGTAGTGCACAGGGGATGTTAATGTGGGAGGAAACCAGAGTACCTGGAGAAAACCCACATAGTCAGGCAGGTGACCCCATACCTTTTCACATCCAATCGTGGAATGGAACCCGGCCGTCTTGGTAAAAGACAAGTGTACTATCCACTGCAACACCTGACCACCTTGGGATTGACAGTGAAGGTCATCTGACATCGTGATTTGTGATACATGTGACATTATTAACTTCATGGGACAAATGAGGTTGTTTGACTTATGGTCACATGACAACTCAAGATGTAGGACGGCGGATGTGTGACAACATGTCGAGTGACCAGTTTATGTTTGGTTTTAACACCAGTTGTCATAACAGTTGGTTGAGATTGGTTTTGTCAACTGAAACTGGTATCTGTTTGTATATTTAGCTCATCTGGCCCAAAGAGACAAGTGAGCTTATGCCTTGACACAATGCTGTCTGGAGTAAACCTTTCCTCCGAGTACTTATCCAGAATAGCTGAAGGAATTTTGGCAAAATTTGGCATGGATCATACCCTGGCCAAATGATTTAGTGTTGTCTAAGTGAAGGTAGAGGCTCTCCTTGAGGTCGAGGTGCAGAACCCTAAAAAGAAAATTGTGGTTAAGCTTTGAAACGCTACTTCTTAATTTGCAGAAAGCAGCTCTGGTCCAAGGGAATTCTATATTTTATAAATGAAATTTGTTGCTGATCTGGGAGCAGAGGGTTCAAAAAGGAAAATTCAGGTACTTAGATGACTACTCCTGAAGTAAATTGATAAGATATCTGATACAGGACTAATGAGCATTTTGATATCTGATACAGGACTAATTGGTCTCTTGATATCAGTTAGCGTTTATTATTTATTTAATTGACATTTTAATTCAAATTTTCATTTGTTGACACCATAAATACTTTTTTTTATGAAATACCGACTTGTGATGGAAGAGAAAACACTGGTTCTTTTGGGAATTTCCAAACGACATGTAAAAGTTACTTTAAGAAAGGAGATTGATACATACCTGGTATAATCTGTTTGTGTGGTTTAAGTGGTAATGTATGGGCTGGGACGGCATGTGTTCAGAGTGTGTGGAGAATGTGTCTGGAATTAGGCAATATTGATTTATAGGCTTGATATAGAATCTCTATATAATGAAAGTTATGTATGAAAACAATTCTATATGATAGAATTATAACAGTTACAATATATATACAGAAATCGTTTTCCCTTTTTTAATTTCACTTGTTAAATAGAATCAAAGTTTACAATTTTGTTTTATTGCACCATCTGTATTGTTACCTATATTTCTGTCCTTTTTATTGCAAAATTTAAATTTGTATCTTAACCTTTTATCCCACCAAGTTGTGATTTTGTATCATATTTTATATACATTTTTATGTAGCTTTTTATGAAAGTGTTTATAACTTGTTTGTACATTTGAGTATATATTTTATGTACATTTTTTCACTCCATTATTTTGTGGTTAGCTCCCTTTGGTAGACATCACCAAATTATTCAGTTTAGCTTTTTCATACCCAACAAGTCTGCAAGTAAAAGGAATGCTGAATTATTCTAATCAAGATAATCTTGAACATTCGAAACACACAGACACAACCTTTTCTTGAGTTTTCTTTAAAAAAGGCAGGAGCAAACAAATTTGAGGAATATTAAAAAAGGACTTTTCATTCAGCAGTGTATAGATAACAAAATAAGCATTTTAATCAGGAAATAATCCAAATGATCTGTATCTGTATG